CACTCCATGACTTACAACTACAGAATATGGGGCTTTTTTATGGTTATGTACCAAACGAAAAAAAGATGCTTTCTTGGTTCATTTGCATCAAGCCACCTAATATGATTCACAAAGATTATTTGACATTGGATTCTCATACAGATAATGCAAGGTCATGCCTGCCCACCAACCCATCAAGGTGGTACTGAAAATGGTGGTAAGGTCTATTAAATATAGTTAGAGTACTGAATTTCACTTTATGACTTACAATTACAGAATATGGGGCTTTTTTATGATTAGGTACCCAACAAAAAGAAAAGCTTTCTTGGCTTATTTGGATCAAGTCACTAAATATAATGCAATCAATGTCTTGTTTTCTATATCCTGAATCATTGCTCAGTTAGAATTGATATTTAAATCTTAATTATAATCACTTGAATCCAACTGAATGCATTTCTTTTATTACTTTTCCACTGACCGCCAAACCAGCAAGCCTTGAGTCATTTAACAGTGAGGACTTTTAAAAAAGCCCTATATTGTATACATGTAGCTGCTTTGGGGGAGGGGAGTGGTAAAGTTTCAAATTTGGTTAAGAGTATGTAACACAATAATTATAATGATAATAATAATAATAATTCATTTTTTCCATCCTTTATTGCAACTGCATCTGACCTAGAGTAATTAGTGAAACATACCAGAAGAGCCTTTTTTTTAATGCAAGGCTTCAGTGGTGCACAGTTATGATATGAAAATAATTTTCTCTTGTGTGAGGCATCAGTCAATTTAGGAGTTACCAAGTGTAAAATTTCAAGTCAATATGGTCCACAAACTACTCATTTTGCAGAGGGTGGAGCTGAGAGGGGTGGAGGGGTCAAAATTATTAGGTTTGTGTACCGTTTTCACTCTTTGCACCCTGAGCACTCATACTCGCACACTTCAGATGGATGCTCGTCACAACAGCGTCAAAAAATAATCAAGCCTATAACTAAGACGTGCAAAGCTTCCAAGGTTAATATAAATTTATCGCTATAATCAGTGAAAAGGCCATACAGAGTTTACTTGTAGCTTCTTTAAAGGTACAACTTCCTATGACGTTTAACAAGATTATCAAGTTGTCAAACACGTATTTTTAATACGATTGATAAAAATTGCTTCATTAAGTCGAAATAAGCTTAATTTCAAGAATAAATAAGTGGATTACTGCACTTGTGACGAATTTTGTGGTCCACAAAAAAAGTACTTGGTTCAATTACGCAGTTCATCGAAAGGTTAATGTTGTTTACCTGCTGGGACTTTTTTTTAACATTGAATACATTTTCAAGACCTGTACTCGATGAGGTGCACTTCTTACGATTGTGCTGCAATCCAGCGAGTCCTTCGGAAAAACATGTCACCGAGAGCAGAGCTTGTAAGACACTATTCAGAAGCAAGTACTTACTAGGTTTGAAATTCCCTTTGGTTCCATTTGACTGTGAATAGTGTTTAGAATTCACGAAGAAAGCGTATTTTAGCCAAAGGCAGAAGATTCGTACTTGAACGGAGCGCAGCGAGATAAGAAAATAAAAATATTCTTTCCCTCGCGCAAGTAACAAAATGTTCCTTCCTGTCCCCTCAACCGCACTTCAACCAGTCGGGGGATGAAAAATATCATTACAAAAAAATAAGGTTAATCGATAACTTCCCATTTGTTTTTCTCGGCGCCAAGCGCTTTTGCGGGTTTTCAACTGAGCGATCGACACCTTTCTGTGATATTTTTGGAGAGGGATGGAAGAAAATGTTTACTACCATTTCTAACTCTGTGGATACTTGTGGAGTTTGCTGGCTCTTCGGATGAGGATATTTTAATGATCAAAGTGCGAACAAAACGCGAAAAAAAAGTCTAAAACTTGAAGTTTGAGATTTGATTTGCTGACGATCAAGATGTGCCCTTACTTCTATAAATCACGAAGTGATGTGGAGGCGATCGTTATTCGTTACGATAATAGAAGGCAGTTTACAATTTGATCTTATTTTACTTCAACTTTGAAATAAAATTACCCCCCAACTTCAAATCACTTCAAATAACATCTTATCTTCTTTCTCTTTGTTGTCCCATTGGACACAAGGCTTAAAAAAATGTTCCAGCTTCAGGATTGAGTTGCTCTTTCTATAACCTTCGGCGAATTCGTTTTGGGAGGTTGAGGTGGATTTTCAAAGTCATGGCTCACAACTGTCTTTGGCCATTTTGCTCTCAAGTCTGTTGTACTTGGTACGTAGGCATGCGTCTTAACAACGTTTATAGTCTTGCCTCGAAATCAAATTTTTTTTGTGTTTTTGTGAGAATTTTTCTGATTGCCCTTTTTGGGCTTGAAGGGCTTACTAGAGGATAAACTTCGGTAGAACTTGTTTTATCACATGGCCCCAAATCTCTCACCACTGTCAGTGCCTTAAAATTAGCACAGCCAAACCCCTGGCTTGAAAACTATTAATTTCTGCAAATAGGCATCCAAGCTGATGCCCATTACTGCAGAATATGCAATAT